ATAGTTCTTGCAATTTCCATTGATGAGATCAGAGCCTTTGTGATCCAATCTCTTCCCAAAAGCCCCACCTCTGAATGTTGCTGCACTGGGGACCAAGCCTTCGGCACATGAGCCTTTGGGGGACATTCCAGATCCAAACTACAATGTCAACCAGTGTGTCAATGAAGAAGTCAAAAAGGAAACTTTTTAAATTTCTTGAAACAAATCAAAATGAAGGGCTAGGGATGAAGCTCAGTAATACAGTACCTGCGCAGCATGTGTGAGACCCTAGGATGATCTCCAGCACAGGGGAGAAAAGAAAAAGAAAAGGAAAACACAACATACCAAAACTACAGAAATGCTAAGCAATGCTAAGAGGGAAGTTTATAGCAATAGTGCCTGCATTTTAAAAAAAAAAAATGGCAAAGATCTCAAGTAAATAAGCTAATGATACAGCTCAAGGAACTAGAAAAACAAACTAAGTCTAAAGTTCGTAGAATGAAAAAAATAACAAAAATCACTAGAAGTACGTTAGAAACTAAAACAACACAAAAGATCAATGAAATAAAGACTTCATATGTATGTATGTATGTACGCATTTATTTATCTATTTATGCTGATGACTGAGCCCAAGGCTTTGTGCACAGTAGGCAAGCGCTTTATGCTGATTTTTTGAAAAGATAAAATTGACAAACCTAGCTGGAAGCTGGTGGCTCACACCTGTAATCTTAGAAGGGTAAGATTGAGAGGATCACAGTTTGAGTCCAGCCAGGGCAAATAGTTCCAAGATGCCATCTCTAAAATAACCAGAGCAAAATGGACAAGAGATGTGACTCAAGCAGTAGAGCACCTGCTTTGCAAGCGCCTACTTTGTAAGCACAAAGCCCTGAGTTCAAACCCTAGTCTCACATTTAAAAAAAAAAAAAAAATCAACAAACCTTTAGCTAGACTAAAGAGAGAAAAGTAGGCACTAGTGGCTCATGCCTGTACTCCTGGCTATTCAGTAGGCAGAGATCAGGAGGATCATGATTTGAAGCCAGCACCAAATAATTCACGAGACCCTATCTCCAAACAACTCATCACAAAAAAGGGCTGGTGAAGTGGCTCAAGTGGTAAGAGAGCCAGCCTAGCAAGTGTGAGGCAGAGTTCAAACCCCAGTGCCACCAAAAAGAGAGAGAGAGAAAGGGAAGACATTACAACTGGTAACACTGAAATATGGACAACCTAGAAGAAATGGATAAATTTCCAGACACATATAATCTACCAAAATAGAATCATGAGGTCGTAGAAAACCTGAACAGACCAGTAACAATAAAATTGAATCAGTAATAAAAAGTCTCCCAACAATGAAAAGCACAGAACTATCTTCACTGCTAAATTTTATAGTGCTAATGACTGAACCCAGCACCTCACACATGCTAAACAAGAGCTTCACCACTAAACTATATACCCAGCCCTTCACCAGACTTTTAAAGAATAGGTAATGCCAATTCTCAAACTATTCCAAAGTATCAGAAGGAAGGGAACTCTTCAAAATTCATTCTCTGAGGCCAGGGTAATATTATCTATTACCCTGATAACAGAACCAGACAAGCACACAACAATGACAACAAAGAAAACAAGCATGATGGTACATGCCTGTAATCCCAAGAATTTGGGAAGCTGACACAGGAGGATCAAGAGTTAGAGAACAGCCTGGGTTACATAGCAAAGTCAAAGGCAGCCTAAGCTACACAGCGAGACTCTGCACCTCCCCCCCGCAAAAAAAAAAAAAAAAAAAAAAAAAAAAAACTATAGCCCAAATGATGAACACAAATGCAAAAATTCTCAATAAAATACTAATTAAATCCAATCATACATATAAAAGATTACACACCATGTCCAAGGGGGATTTATATCAGGGATGCAACATACACAAATCAGCTCATGACATACTAACAGGATAAGTATGCTATCATATGTTAACATATCATATGTTCAATTTTTTTTTTTGCAGTCCTGGGATTTGAACTCAGGTCCTCGTGCTTGCTAGGCAGGTACTCTACCACTTGAGCCACACACCAGCCCTTTTTTGTTTTAGTTATTTTTCAAACAGGGTCTCATGTTAATTTTCTGGCTGGCCTGGACTGCAATCCTCCTATTTATGCTTCCTGCATAACTGGGATGACAGGCACACATTACATCCAGCTTCTTATTGGTTGACATGGGGGTCTTTCCAACTTTTTGCTTGGTATGGCCTCAAACCTCAATTCTCCTGACTCCACCTCCCAAGTGGTTAGGATTATAGGAGTGAGTCACCATGCATGACTGCAAAAGGGCTGAGAGAGTGACTCAAGTGGTGGATCACCTGCCCTATAGCAAGCAGGAGGCCCTGAGTTCAAATCCTAGTATACAAAAAAAAAAAAGTTCACTATCACTAGTCATCAGGAAATGCAAATCAAAACTACAAGGAAGGCTGGGGGTGTAGCCTAGCAGTAGAGTGCTTGTCTTGTATGCACAAGGCTTTAGGTTTGATCCTCAGCACTGCAAACACACATACAATAAGATCATCTCACCCTGGTTATCATACCTATTATCAAAAGTGTTGGCAAAAAAGTCAGACATGGTGGTGTATGCCTATAATCCCAGGACAGGGGAGGCTGTGCTATAGGGCCAGTCTGCGCTACATAGTGAGCTACATAGTGAGCTACATAGTGAGCCCCTGTCCCAAAAGAAAAAGAAAAGAAAATGCTGATAAGGAAGCAGAGAAAGAAGAACTCTCATACATGTTGGTGTGAATGTAAATTAGAACAGCCACTATGAAAAACAGTACGAAGACTCCTCAAAAAAAAAAAAAAACAAAACTAGTAGAGCTGCCAGGCATAGTGGTATACACCTGTAATCCCAACTACTTGGGAAGAAAGGCAGGAGGACAAAGTTCAAAGCCTGCCTGAGCAACTTCATAAGATCCTGTCTCAAAACAATATTTATAAAAGGATGGGAGGGTATAGCTCAGTAGTAGAATGCTGGCCTGGCATATACAAGGCCCTAGGTTCAATCTCCAGTACTTTAAAAAAAAAAAAGCTGGGTGCCAGTGGCTCACGCCTGTAATCCTAGCTACTCAGGAGTATCTCTGTTAGAAGCCAGCCCCAGACAAATAGTTGAAGAGAACCTACCTCAAAAAACCCATCACAAAAAAGACTGGCAGAGTGGCTCAAGCAGTAAGAGCGCCTGCCCATCAAGCACAAGGCCTTGAGTTCAAACCCCAGAGCTACCAAAAAAAAAAAAAAAAAAAGTGAAATTCTGTCATTATGCAACAACATGGATGGAACTGGAGGACGACACTGTGTTAAGTAAAATAAGGCACAGAAAGTCAAATATCATGGTCCTCAATATATGCAAAAGCAAAACTTGACTTCAAAGAAGTTGAGAATAGAACAGTGGTTACCATACCATGGTGAGGGGAGGAAGAGGACAAGAGGGATAGAGAAAGGAGGGCTAATAAGTACAGGGGTGCAGCTGGAAAGGAGGATAACTTCTAAGATTCTATAGCACAGTAGGATAACAATGGCTGACATTAACTGAATATTTCACAGTAGCTCATAGAGAGGATTTTCAATGTTCCCGACACAAAGAATGATATATGACTGAGGTGATACATATGCCAATTACCCTGACCTACTCTTTACACACTCTATATATGGACTGAAATGCCACACTGTATCATAAATATGTACAATTACTATATGTCAATTTAAAATCTAATAAAATATAAGCAGGAAAGTCCATAAAAGTAAGCCAGGCGCCAGTGGCACAAGGCTGTCATTACTCAGGAGGCAGAGATCAGGAGGATGACGGTTAGAAGCCAGCAAATAATTCTCAGACCCTATCTCAAAAAAGCCCAAAAAAGGCCTGGAGTGACTCAAATGGTAGAGTGTCTGCCTGGCAAGTGTGAGGCCCCTGGTTCAAACCCCAGTACTGCAAAAAAAATAAATAAATAAAGCGCGTGAGTATATTCATTGCAGCATATCTGTAACACTGAAAAACTGGAACCAATGGTCATTAATAAAAGACAACTAAAGAAATCACACAGTACACCCTTTAACATGGAATAAACATTTTTTTTTAAAGTGTAACTCTAAATAGAGCATGTCACTGATGGGGGGAGAGCACACCATAGAATTACATGTAGAATAGTATGATCCCATTTTTGTAAAAACAATACCACTTCTCTTGAAGAGACACACATACAAAAAAATTAAAAATAAATTAAAAAAAAAAAAACAGAAAGAGCAAGCCAGGTGCTTAGCATGGGAAGTTGGGGGAAATGCGAGCTGCCTTTTTTTTTTTTCCGACAGTACTGGGGTTTGAACTCAGGACCTCAGGCACTCTACCAATTACTTGAGCCACTCCACCAATCCTTTTTTTGTGTGGGACTTTTCCAGACAGGGTCTCCTAAACTATTTGCCCAGGCTGATTTCTAACCAAGATCCTCCTGATCTCTGCCTCCTGAGTAGCTAGAATTATAGGTGTGAGCCACCGGCGCCCAGCTTCTTTCTTTCTATTTACTTTTAATGGGGTTTGAGCCTAGGGTCTTGTACAAGCTAGACAAGAACTCTTTCCCTTGAGCCACGCCCACCCTCCCCAGAGCTTATGCTTTTAGTCTGTTTTCAAAATAGGGTCTCACTAACTTTTGCCCTAGCAGCCTCAGGACCACAATTCTCCTACTTCTGCCTCCAGAGTAGCTGGGATGGCAAGTGTGCATCACCATGTCCAGCTGAATTTTTTTTAACACTGATTGAATTTTTACATAAAACTTTTTTTTTTTTTTTTGGTGATACTGGGGATCGAATCCAGGGCTAAGCAAGCACTCTATCAACTGAACTATATCCACGGCCCACAGCACACATTAATTTTAAACAAAATACTCGGTGCTGTCGGGGGCATTCCTTAGCAAATCATTCTTACTTCCTGACTGGACTCCTATCCCCACCACCTCTGCCCAGTCCTCCACCCACCACTCCTGGCCCAGCCCCACTTACAGATGCAGGCAGCAGCCAGCAGGCGGCCAGCAGCATATGGGGCACTGCAGCTGGGGAAAATGGGCTGCACCATGTAGTTGGCAAAGGTGATGGCGATGATGGCCTGGCTGGTGGGTTCGATGATGAGCAGGGAGGTCCACAGGCGGATGAAGGCAAGAAGTCCTCCGAAGGCCTCCAGGATGTAGGCATAGCTGGCCCCAGATTTCTTAATGGTGGTGCCCAGTTCTGCATAGCAAAGGGCTCCGAAGACGGAAAAGAGGCCCCCGATAGCCCAAATAACCAGCGAGAGGCCATAGGAGGCGCTGTACATGAGCACACCCTTGGGGGAGACGAAGATGCCCGAGCCAATCATGTTCCCCACAATGAGGCACACACCGTTAAGCAGCGAGATCTCCTTCTTTAGCTTTACCTGCTCGGCCCCTGGGCTGGCCCCATCACCCGAAGGGGAAGCATCAGCCTCATGCTGGGAGGTCACTTCATACTTGATGCTTTCAACCATGGTGGAGAAAGACAGGAAAGCCTTCACCAGCTTCCTCGCATTGCCCTCTAGGGAAGAAAGATGAAGAGCTATATTGGTTGGTAATTACCTAGCACCTCTCTTCCTGCTCCACAGGGGCCAATATGGACAGCCCACTCTCCACTTCAGAGACCCTTCTCTTACTTTCTGGTTCCAAATAACAACTTCTCCAGCTGCCTCATCAAAATGACCCCAACTTGAACTTTTAAGGGATGTACTCACTCCAGAGAGAAACCATCTGCCTGTCCTCATTAGGATGAGGCAGCCCACCTGATTTACAAATAGACAACTGAATTGTGGTTCTCCCTGAGCCTACTGTGAAACAAGACAAGCATGGGGGCATGAGCAGTTCCCAGGTGTGTAATCATAAAGGTTTGAGCCTGAGTCTTTAGCCTACCCCCAAAAAGTCTGTCTTCACTCCAATTTCAGTCTCAAATGTCACCTGTGTTGGAATGAAAAGTGAAGAACCAACCTGGCAAGCAGCTAACCTGTGGGATCTCCCCACAGTGCTGCTCTTTTCCCCTCCAAGGACTCTAGCTAGCTCTGGCAACCCTAAAGTCTTCAGAAAGCTCCTGCTGGAAACTCAGCCAAATCCCTACAGACACACAGACAGCATCCATTAACAGCCATCAGCTGGTGTCTTCAACCCTAGCAAAGCCCAAGCGGCTCCATCCCATCCTGAAAGAAGATAGGTTATTCTCTTCTTTTGTTGCTTTTCCTTTCCCAGATACCTGTCTCAGTCTCTAGTATTCCAGACCTCCTGTCATCAAATCCAAAAAAATGAGAAGGGTGACCTAAATGCACAGCGGAACCTAGATGTGACCAGAGGCAGCTAATGATGGCTCCCTTCCCCGGAGTTGCTACTGGAGAGAAACTACCCAAAATCAAGGAAAAGAAACAGCTGAAGCTGGGCAGCAGATGCCTGGAAATATGGAGCAGAAGATAGCTGAGGAAAATAAGAAGAGCCAGTCAAGGAGGTAGAGAAATACTAAGGCAAGAGGCACTCAGGAGAGGGAGGGATTGGACAATGCAGGGTAGCAGAGAGGAATTAGCAAGGGGGATGGGGACAAGAAGACAGGGTGGATGCACACTCACTCCCAGGACCTGGGAATCAGCAGGTTTCCACAGCAGTGGCCAGCAGCAGTCAAGAGAGACACACCCTCTAAGAACAGCGGTCCGACTGCTCCTCCGTCCAGCCAGCAGTAAAAGGGAAGGCCAGACAAATGCCTACGAATTTAAGTCAAGTCAAGAAGTGGGGAGGAGGCAAGGGAGCAGACAAAGGAAGGGGTGAGGGAAAGGGAGAGGAGTGTTAAGTAACCGTCTGGGTCCAAGGTTCATGGGTTCTTCCCATCTGCAAAAGAGACAGCTTCAGGAGCTCTTGGCTCAGCACTTTGTAAGATAAGAAGGTGCTCTCTCAGGAATCTTTTTTGTCAACTCTGCTCCAGGACTGGGGGCCCAGAAGAAAGGCCATCTCTACAGTCCTGGGGAAGCTGTCAGATTAAAAACAGGACGAGTGGCACCAACCCCTGTGTGCGTCCTCCATGCCCCACCCTAGTCTCACTTCTCTCTCACCCCAAACAATTAAGAAAGGCAGGAAAGTTGCAGAATGGAACACAAAGCCTTGTTCACATGCTGAGATTGAGGAACTATAAAGTTCCTACACCTCGTGATTGGCTGTCCTGAAACCAAACTCTGCACAATTCCCCATTAGAGAGAGACGGATGCCTGCCTCTAAACTTGGGCCATCACCCCAAAGTCTGAGACTCAAGCTGCTTCAAAAGAAACAAGGTCAAGAAATGAGATCAAGCATGTGCCAGTGACTCATGCCTGTAATCCTAGCTACTCAGGAGGCAGAGATCTGGAGGATGGCAGTTCGAGACCAGCCTAGGCAAACAGTTGGCAAGACCCTATCTCAAAAAAACCCACTACCAAAAAAAAAAAAAAAAATGGTGGAGTTGCTCAAGGTGCAGGTCCTGAGTTCAAACCCCAGTTTGAAAAAAAAAAGAAATGAGATCAAACTTCGGGCTACAACCCATTTCACCTGTGTGCCCTTTCATCCTTAGGAAAACATACCAAGATTTCTGGAGAGTACATAAAATCCTATAAACACCTTCCCCAAATACAGGGAAGGGCCAGTGGTGTGTAGCTCAATAGTAGAGTGCTTGCCTAGCAAATTTTTTTAAATGTGAAAATAAGATTTCACTGAGCTATGCTAGACAGGCCCAGAAGCAGCACAGAAAGCTGACCACTTTGGGGAAATTGCAGTTTATTCTATCTGTATAGTCTACTTTAAATCTGGTATTCTGGATCTCTTTTGCCAACAAAATACACCCTCTCCATCCCAAAACCCAACTGTCCCTTCTTACACCTTTCCTACCCCTTATTAGTTATTCTACAGGAGAATAAAGGTCTAAAAACCCCTAGAAGAATTTTCTCTTCATCTTCTCATTCTAGCCCCTTAAATTTGTATTTCAGCCAGGAGGGAAAATGAAAGACAAAAGGGAATGGAAGGGAAGGGCGCTAGGCACCCTTGCTAGGGTGCCACTTCTAAAGCAAACAAACACATGAACGCATACATCACACCTACAAATTCACTAGCATCAAGGGGTTATGTATCCAAATGTGACATCAAGAAAAGGAACAAAGGAAGGACAAAGGAAGGGAAATGGCAAAGGAGCTTAGGAAAAGAACTCTGCAAAGCTGAGTTCCTGACTGATGGTAAGTGAAGTTCTCTCAAGGAATCTTGAGGCAGACTAGCAGGGATGCAATCCAGTCTCAGCAAACATTGTGCCCTTAGGGGCGGCTGCCATTCCTGGAGAAGTTCCCCTCTCTTGCCAATCACTGCCTAGACCACAGGCAAGAAGGCACCTCCTCTGGCAGCTCACATTCCTCCCTGAGACCCTGGATTGCCCATTCAGGCAGCCCAGACTCTCCTGAAGGGGCTCTGCCAGCCAGAGGTTTACAGAGGCCTATGAGATGTTTCTGACAACAGGTGTACTCATCTCTGAGGATGTTGGAGATTCCAGAACAACACACTCAGACTATAGCCTGTGGAAGAAGTTTCTGATTCAGGGGTTCAGGGAAGCAGGCAGCAGGGCCCCCAGCAGGCAGTGCCTGGTACAGCAGCCAGTGGAGCTCCCATGCTCTGACTCTGTCCTCCAATGGCAACACCACAACATACTTCCTCCAGGAACCAGTACAAGGTTGAGAGTCTTGGCTCCTCAGCCAAGCCCTGAGAGCGACTGTGAGAACACACTTTCTCTGCTACAGTCCCCATGCCCTGCCGTCCTGGCTTCAACTGGTCTGTCCTGCTTTCCCTAACAACAGAAACAAATAGATACCCGCTGGAATGACTGGATTCTCCATCACTCCAAGCTACAGCTCAGCCCCTCCCTCTCTAGTGCTCCGTTTGTTTTTCTATATTCCATTCTAGTTAAAACTGGCCCTTTAAAAAAAAAAAGTGAAATAAAAAGAAAATTGTTTACTCTTATGGCCAGGACTCCTATTAACAAAGGGCTGAAGTCTCTGGGCAGAAGGTTCGGCCTTTGAGTAGGGTCAGGGCCGGGACCAGGAACTGGGGCTCCCGGGTCCCCCTTCAGTCTATTGATTTTTGGGATTCATTCCATCTTCCACCAGCACTTCCCCTCTCACCCATTGTCCCTCCTTTCCCACCTCTTACCTGTCCAAGACCTTGGGGCAAGTGAAGGGAGGAGGGGCTACCAGCTCGCTGTGGGGGGTGTGGAGGGGGCAGCTAGTTAAGGGAATCAGGGGTATAGCTCAGGCTGCAGCAGCTGTTGATTCTGAGGAGCAGAAAAGACAGAGGGTGCCGGGACCGAAATGGAAAACAGGAAAACACATGTGTGACTCTGGCCAGCAGAGGGGAGGGGCCAGGGGCCGGACTGAAGCTAGGACTGCCTGGTCAAACGCAGAAGACCTGACATAAGCTGCCCTCCAGGCACCTTCTCTACTCTTGAGTTTCAGCTCCTCCTCCTCCTCCCACATCAACCCTGATCGTCCTTCTTGCCCTACCCTTTTCTGAGTGCTTAAGCTTTCCCTGCAATTTACAGGGCCCTCCTAAGCACCCTAAAACACCTCCCTCCCTTCTCCCCCTCATTCCATTTCCTACTTATTCTCCCACTCACAGACTATGCTTAGTCCTGTTTATGATCCCATGATCCCATGATCCTGTGGTAAGGACATCGAAACTGCAGTTCCACCTCAAGTTTCCTTGCCATTTCAACCCCTACAGCAAGTCAAGGAAGACAATGCATACCAAGGAAGGCCACCTAGGGGCACAGCCCAGCATGTGCCCAGACATCAAGCAAGCCCACTCAGCTCTGAACTCTAGTTGGTTCAGGTGATTTCTGAGTTGCCAGGTAAGAACCAACTAGGCCCTTGGCACCCTGGCAGATGCATGAGTTGGCACCCCTTTGAATCACTGTTCTTTTAAATGTCTGTTGAATGTTCACTTAGCAGAGGTGGGGGAATACCATTCTTCTCAGAATAGAAACTGGACAAGCCTCTTTCTTTGTATTTAGATTTTAAACAATTATTACATGGCTTCAACACATGCAATTGTCAGAGGCAGACACTTCTCAGTAGGCATATTTAGCCCACTGAAAATGCAGACAGTAACACATCTCTGTCCTTGACAGCAGCACTTCGTACTGCAAGATGCATTTTTAGAATTCCAGCTGTGACTGTGGATGTTAGACAACTGTCAGCTTGCTAGTCTCCAGGCTACACCCTGCGACTTGCACTTGCGGCCTGCAAATTACTCCAGACAGGTGGTGCAGGTAAGGAGTGGTCAAGGATTCTGTCTGTGTCTTTGAATGGGAGCCAAGTTACATTTCACAAAGAGACAGAAATCAAAGTTCACTGTCCCCAAATATCTGAATTATTCCCAGAATAATTTAGTGCTCTTTTAGACCCAAGCTGCTTCCCAGCTGGTCTGCCCCTTAATCTTTTCCTGAGGTCAAGTCCAAGTTGTAAGTGAGGGAAGTCCTAGGAAGAGAGGAAAAGCTTTGCTTTTGGCACCTTCCCTGCATTCCCTCCCTGGGCTCCAGCCACACTGGCCTTCCTGCTGCAACCACCAGCAAGCACGCTCCCACCTCACAGTTTCTGTAATACCTGAGGACCTGTTCACGGTTTCTGGAATACCTGAATACCTGTCCGGTTTCTGGAATACCTGAATACCTGTCCGCCTGTTCTCCCTGCCGCCGGGAACATTCTTCCCTGTGACATTTTTCACTCCTGGTGTTATTTCTTGGTCGTCACCTCCCCTCTAGAAGATAAGCATCACAAGAGCTTTGTTCACCACTGTTATCCTCCTCCGTGGGGGCTTATACAGACGTCAATAAACGTCTGCTAGAGGGCTGGGGTGGGGGGGCGAAGCGCTAGCATGTGCAAGGTCCTGGATTCAATCCCCAGCACCGCAAAAAAAAAAAAAAAAAGGTTGCCGGATGAATAGATGAATGAATGAACAATGTTGCTCCTCCCTGACTGATTTCTCAGATCGCTGGGCTCCCAGGCAGGTCCTTGAATTTGCCCTCCGGGTTCCCTTGGGTTGCTACTACTCTGGCTCCTTAGAGCAAGGAGTATTTGCAGGTACTTATTTTGATAGTACTGTAATGGGTGTAAGGGAAAAAGAGTATGGTTTTCAGTTTCACTGGGAGGCCTAGAATGGTTTGAAATCGACTTTGTTCCACTAATGAAAACAAAACAAAAAAGGCCCTCATCTAACGTTCCGTTCTCAGATCCAGGAAGTTCTTAGCTGTCCCATCCCACACACCCGGGCTCGGGTGACCAGTCTAGGTGCGGCGTGGAGGTGGCGAAAGCGAGGTGTCACAAGCGGGTGAAAGGGCAGGGTAAGGCAGAGGCAGATGAGCCCAGCGGTGGACGCAAACCCCAAGCGAGCTCGAGAAGAGAGAAGAGGGAACCGGGGAACGCAACCTCTGTGTGTGACCTCGTCCCGGACCCCGCACCCCGCGCTCCCCTCGCACACTCGGCTCCAGGGCGACCCTCGCCCCTTCTCATCCACTTCCCCCACCCCGGGGCCCCGCCCGGCCGGTGGCCGCGCTCACCTTTGTCCCATTCTCCCACGCTCGCTCTCCAGCCACCCTCTCTTTCTTGGGACCCTGCCGATTCCCTTTACTTCCCTTTTTCTTGGCCCCCGGTTCCGTGTCTGCGGCCCTAGTATCTCGCCTTCTCCAAACCCAACAGTGTCACCATCGCCTTCAATGCCCCTCGGAAGGAAAGGCGCCCACCCGGGCACTCTCTTGGGGGATCGGACCCCACCCCATTGGGCGTCCCTTCGGTTTCCTGCATCTGGCCAAGGGCCCCAGCCTTGCCCGGCTCTAGGAAGCGCTGGAAGAGGGGCTTGCGGTGAGTGAGGGCGAAGGGAGCAGAGATGTCAGGAACCGTGAGGCCCCGCAACCCGCCTCCCGGCCCTCGGCTCGCGCGGGAACCGCTGCGCTGTGCCGCCCGGGGCGAAATGAAAATGACCGCCGATACCATACCCTTAGAGACACGTCCTCCGCCCCTGAAACACTCAGCTTTCTCTTCCCTCCCTCCCCAGCCAGCTCGAGCTGGCCGCCCAACGGGGGTCTAGGCACACTCAGGCAGCCCCTGCCTCCAGCCCGGAGGCGCTCGGCTGAAACTCCTACGGGACCCGGGACCCACAAGCCCCACCGGCCGCGGGGAGAGGGGGCGGCGCCTGACGGAGCCGGGGGAGGGGTCTCGGGGCAGCCGGCTCTTCAGCCGGTTCCCGGCTCCCCGCCCCCTCGGGGGAGCTGTTGCATCAGCTTGCGGAGCCCGAAATGAGAGAGTGGTCTCCACCAGGCCGGGAAGGTGCCGGCAGTAAAGTGCCGCCAGGAGGCAGCACTTAACCAAAAATGTCGGGTCGACTGCCTTCCGTATGAAGAGTAGCGTGGACCTGACAAAAAGAGAGATGTACCGAGCACCGGTGGCTCACGCCTGTAATCCTAGCTACTCAGGAGGCAGAGATCAGGAGGATCCCGGTTCGAAGCCAGCCTGGACAAATAGTTCCTGAACTCCCTATCCGGAAAAAACACATCACAAAAAAGGGCTGGTGGAGTGGCTCAAGGTGTGGACCCTGAGTTCAAGCCCCAAGACTGCAAAAAAAAAAAAAGGAGATTCTGGCTAGTTTGGGAAGAGAGATCTTCTCTGGGCGCAGTGGTAACCCCAGTAACCCCAGCATTCCACTCAGAAGACTGAGGCAGGAGGATTCAAACCCAGCCTGGGGGCTACATAGTGAGACCCTGTGTCAAAAAAAAAAAAAAAAAGAAAAAGAGAAAGATCAAGAGCTGGAGTTGTAGCTCAGTGGTAGAGCACTTGCTTAGCATGAGAAGCATGAGAAGGTCCTGGTGTTTTAATATCTCATCTGGTACCTGGGTACCTGGGGGAGTGAAAGCGGGGGGGGGGGGGGGGGTGTTCTGCTTCATACAGGTTAAGGTTAAAAGGTGACTTGTAAATGATATGTTTGCACAATCCAGCTTTGTAAAAGCCAATATTGTAGCTCTACAGAAATCCACCTGCCTTCAAGATCAATCTGGTGGAAAGGCACACACATTAAGTGACTTCCTTTCCCCCAGCAAGGTCATAATTAAACCATCTTGAAGCTGGGTCATTTAACACAGAATTTAGCCAATACTGACCTAACAAGGATTTGACAGCTCTGGAAAAGAAGAGGAATATGTTAGAATAAATTATGTAATAAGAAAATATTATGCAAAGCAGTGTAGTGTATTGTGTGGGTGAGGTTTTTTTGGTTTTGTCTTTGTGTTTTTTCCTTTGTTTTTGAGACAGGTTCTCCCTGTGTAATCCAGGCAGTGATCCTCCTGCTTCTACCTCCCAAATTCTGGGATTACAGGCTGGGTGAGTTTTTTATAGTTTTCAGTTCCCACATTTTCTTGCATGATGTGACAGTGATTTGATCTTTGAGCTATCCTAAAAAGGAAGATAATGAAAGAACTCCCACAGATGCTGGGTGCCCTTGGCTCACGCTTGTAATCCTAGCTACTCAGGAGGCAGAGATCAGGAAGATCTCGATTGGAAGCCAACCTCAGGCAAATAGTTTGGGAGAACCTATTTCAAAAAAAAAAAAAAAAATCACACACACAAAAAAAGGGCTAGCAGAGTAAGTCAAGAGGTAAGACCACCTGCAAATGTGAGGTCCTGAGTTCAAAACCCAGTCCTGCCAAAAAAAAAAAAACCCACAGCTCACCCTTGTCTCCATAACTTCCTGAATTTAAAAATTTTTGTCATACATGCAAAAAGGGGAAGAGGTGGGATTGGCTACCCAGAGTCAGCTTCACTTCACTTATTGTCCTTCTCCAGGGTTGTTACTCATTACAACCTGCTTTTTTTTTTTTTTTTTGCAGTACTGGGGCTTGAACTCAGGGCCTACATATTAGCCACTCCACCAGCCTTTTTGTGTTAGGTATTTTCAAGATAGGGTCTCTTGAACTATTTGCCCGGGCTGGCTTCAAACTGTGATCCTCCTGATTGCTGCCTCCTGAGTAGCTAGGATTACAAATGTGAACCATTGGTGCCTGGCTAGAGCAATGCATTTGGACAAAATCAACTGCATACAGACCTATAGAACAGAGAGATATCTGGATAAACATATTAAATAAAAACATGCATGGATAACAAAATGCTAAAGCCAAATATGGGGCATGATGTCCTTGAAGGGCATAGGAACCTAGGACAGGAAAGATGTGAAATTCAGATGTGAACTCTCATTTCCGGTCTCTGCCAGATGAAGTTTAGAGATTAAAGAACATCCAGCATGAGTGAGTGAGGAAGCTGCTTTCCTGTGTTGTATGAGGTTGATGAAGTCACCGTGGAGTGCTCTCCAGGTGCCAGACCCTTCCTGATCAGTGTTCCATCAGGACCTCAAGAATACTGATGATATCAGCTATCAGTGTTCCGTGTTCTCTCTGTCAAAATCCTAACCCAGCTGGATGGAAGTGTAGCTCAAATTGTAGAGCACCTGCCTAGCAAGCATGAGGCCCTGAGTTCAAAGCCCAATATTGCCCCCCAAAAAAATAAAATAAAAAAATCTAACCCATATTTCCTGCTATTTACAACCCATGGATTGTCCACCAGCCATGTCAAAGACTGAACTTGTCTTCCTTCCAAAGATCCTTCCTTTCCCACATTTCCCAGTTCTGATCCAACTTCTAATCTTGTTCCCAAAGTCCTCCTACTCTCGTTCCTTGACCTCCACAGCTACTGAATGATTGCACGTGTCCATTTCTGCACAGCATGTAGCATTCCTATTTTCCACATTATTGTTCACCTAAATGTACATGCCATTTTTTATGACTTTGCAAATTGATGGTGTGCTCCTCATGTGTAATCTGTTAAGAGTAGGAGTGTTACTGGTTCAATTCCTTTATGTAGCATAGGTGGTAGTACAAGCCTGTCATCTTGTTTATCAGTCCTGAACACTGACTCTTAGGCTATTCTTCAAGCCTTTGGCTTCTTCTTGCCTCCCCAACTATAACTACAGAACTCTAGTGCTGTCTATCTCTGGACCAAAGACTCAGGAAGATAAGCTTGGGAACAGTGTTGCTCAGTGTTTATTCTACCACTAATTGTAAAACAGTAAATCCACAACCTGTGTATGCTGTGTGTGTGTGTGTATGTGTGTGTGAGATGAGTGTGTGTGTGTGTGTGTGTGTGTTGCTGGAGATCAAACCCAGATCCTCGAATATGCTAAGCACACATTCTACTAATGAACTACATCCCCAATTCAACAGCCACATTTTGACTCGATTTCCTGATCCCTTAAAACTACAAGAAAATCTGCACCATAACCTAAACTATCTTATCTACTATAAGTTTATTATGAAATCATTTATGTAGAAGTGTGTGGGGCTAGGGTAGAGATACTAGCGTGTGTAAGACTCTGGGTTCAATCTCTGCAAAATAAAAAAAAATTTTTTAAAAAAAGAAAGAAATGCCTGTAATCCCAGCATTTGAGAGGCCAAGGTATGGAAGATTCAATTTCAAGTCCAGCCTGGGCTAGACAGTGAGACCTGTCTCAAAAAAAGAGGAAGAGAGGAGGAGGAGGAGGAGGAGAAATAATAATAAATGGGTGTAAGACCTTAGTGGGGGTGAGGGGGAAGGGTCCATCTCTTGGCTTCTAGTCAAGTTTCTTTTGTTTCCCATCCCTTCTGGTTTTGCCTTAGCCTATATTATTCTTATTGTTATCAAAATAGCTGCTTTTACTTCTTAAGCCAGGGTCCACCCTTCCCCTCTTTCAAAGCACAACTCAGAGCCACCTCCTGTGGAAAAACTTCCCAGTCTTGCAGAAGGAAATGATAAACTTCCAGATAGGCCATTACACCACTCCCTCAGGTTCCTCCAGTTGACATGTGTTCACATGTCTAGCCCAGTAATAATGGGCACTTTTGTAGGTATTTCACCGTAACTTTCACTTACATTATCACTCTTAGAAGGTTTTCACAAATGTGTGTGATGTCTTTAAATTAAGGAATCAAGGATAAAGCGGGAGCAGGAGGATGGAGAGTTGAAGGCCAGCCTGGGCGACATAGGGAGACCCTGAGAAAGGAAAGGAGGGTGGAGGGAGGCAAGTGGGGAGAGAAGTAGGTTAGAAAGAAGGGAGGTAGACAGAGGGAAGGAAGAGGAAGGAAGGAACTGACTTTTCCTAAGGCATTTACTGAACAGCAAGTGATAAAAAAGAAAGAGCCACAGATCTGAGTTTGCCACTTACTAGAAAAGTAGAGTATCCTTTATTTAAAATGCTTGGTATCACAGTGTCTTGAATTGTTCTGGATTTTGGAACACTTGCATATACATAATGAAGTATCTGGGGAAGAGGACCTAATTCTAGACACTAAATTTGCTGGGGGTCTGGCTCAAGTGATAAGAGTGCCTGCCTAGTAAGTTCAGAAGCCCTGAGTTCAGCCTCCAGTATCATACCAAAAAAAAAAAAAGGAAATAAACATGAAATTCTTTTGTATTGTATGTACCTTACACATGTGGCCTGGCCTGTTTTGTTTTGTTTTTTATTTTTGTGGTGCTGGGGATGAATCCAAGGCCTGAGCATGTTAGGCAAGCACTCTACCACTTAAGGTAATTTCATACACTATTTTTAGCTCACCTGGTTTTTGATGGCAACCACTCACATGAGATCAGGTGTTTTGTGGCATCATGTCTGTGCTCGAAAACTTTGATTTTGGATTTTGGAGCATTTCAGGTTTCAGGTTAGGGATGCTCTGCAAGTACTTACCTCAGATTTGTAACAAGGATATTAGGGAATGTGTGAAGGTAGCTTTTACAAGAATGGGTTCACTTCTTAGCTCCACTCTAGCAACTTCCCGGACAAATACGACAAAGCAATCTGCAGCACATTCTGATTGCATGTGCTCACAAACAACATGCTTCCAGGCACTCGGTTGATTATTTTATTGTCTTCTCTCTCCTCTAGACAGCCCAGTCGGGATAGTGATAAGGTCTGTTTCTGCTCCCTACGGAATCTCCCGTGCCTACTACAGCGCTTGCCACGTAGAACTTCAATTTTATTGAATAAATAAGGTCCCAGAAACCAAAATTTTCTCATTTGCTCTACATCTGACCCCTTCTCTTAATCTGGGAAAAATATGGTATGGAGATGGAGGAAACGGTAGAATGAGGGAAGGTGATGTTACTCCTCCAAGCTAAAAATCACTAACTAGCGAGCGCTGAGGGAGGTCATAGGAAGAGCTTAGCACAGTTTAGTCGGGCATAGAAATCCCAGGGTGGACACAGAGGAAGTCCACCGCCAAAGACCATCCCTGAGTACGCATGCGCAGGACGCCGGCTGTGTCTCGCCCAAAAGACCCTCCCCTCAGGTGCCCTTCACTTCCGTACGATGACCCAAGATGGCGGGGCCCGTGATTGAAAACCGATTCAAGATGGCGGCTTCCCGTTTCCCCCGCGGCATCGCGCGTGGTCCCCGAGGCCACGCCCACTTCCGGCTCCTGGGTCTCAGAATGGCTGCTCTGGGAACCGTGCTCTCGAGTGAGTGGACTTGGGGCGGGAGGACTCGGGGAGCCTGTGCGGGCGGGTCCGCGGCCTCTCCCGTGACTCTGTCTCTCTCCCTAGCAGGTGTCCGGAGGCTGCACTGCGGCGTGTCGGCTCAGGCAGGCAGCCATTGGCGACTCCGGTGAGTGCGGGGTGCGGGGAGGAGGGCGCCCGAAGCCGCGCCGAGTTCTCACGACTGCCTCCCTCCCCCAGGCAGGGCATGGCTGCCAGCCCGTCAGGCTACGGGCCGCTGACGGAGCTCCCAGACTGGTCTTTCGCCGGTGAGCGTGCATGTGTTCCCTCGGAGGGGACCGCCCCTGGGCGGCGTGGGGGAGTGGTGTCAAGGGGAGGGCGTGTCTGAGTGGGAAAACGAGGTGAACGAGGGAAAAAGCCCTCTTGTTTATGTTGTCACTTAAACTGGGACAAGGGCAGGTAAAGCGGTGCAAGAGCTTGACTCGTGGCAGTGAGCAGAGGGTCATCCTAACTTGAGGCGCCCTAGGGCCGGAGGGGATGACAAGATCTTCACGTTTCTCAACGGGGGACATGATTTTTAAATAATTAGAAAGAACCACTCTTCTGTATGGTGACTGCATTTTTTGGTACGAAATACTAGAGGAACTCTTTGAAAGGCTGTGAAAAGGAGCATTTCTGAAGGGTAGAAGATGGAGGATCACAGGCTTTATTCAAAAAAAAAAAAAAATTCCAGGCGTGGTGGTACACATCTGTAATCCCAGCAGTAGAGAGGCTAGGGCAAGAGGATGGTGAGTTCTAGGCCTGCCTAGATGCATAGTAAGACCCTGTCTTAACTCCCCCACCTCTAAAAAGAAAAGAGAGAATAGATACTAGCTCTAAAAGGGAGGAACCTCGGAGAAGTTGAAGCCACTCCCCACTTTATATGGGAGTACAGTTTACAGGTAGGAAAAATTGAGGCCTACAGAAGTGAAAAGCCTGTACTATGTTCGGTTAGTAGAAAAGCCAAGACTAGAACTGGGCAATGGAGGGCCTCCTTCACAACAGGGAGACCTGAGTGTTAATATCCTATTGGTTGGTTGTCTAGGAGTAACATCGTGCATGTTCAGTTACTTGGTGACTGAAGAGGATGGTGAAGATTGTTTTCACTTGATATTTGCTGTAGGAAGCCTAGAATCTATCCGTAGTAGTATGCAATATTAGAATGACAGGAACAGTGAGTACCTGTACTTTGGGGGGTAGGATTGTTTTCACTTGATATTTGCTGTAGGAAGCCTAGAATCTATCCGTAGTAGTATGCAATATTAGAATGACAGGAACAGTGAGTACCTGTACTTTGGGGGGTATGAGGTGCTGGGGTTGAACCTAGAGCCTCTTGCATACATTAAGCATATACTCTACCACTGTGCCACTGAGCTACATCCCAGCCCCTTGTATTCTTTTCTTTTTTTTCTTTTTTTTTTTTTTTTTTTTACTGGGGTTTGAAATCAGGACCTATATCTTGAGCCACTCCACCAGTCCTTTTTTGTGAAGGGTCTTTTCAAGATAGGATCTCTGGAGCTATTTGCCCAGGCTGGTTTTGAACCCTGATCCTCCTGATCCTCTGCCTCCTGAGTAACTAGGATTACAGGGTATGAGCACTGGTGCCCAGCTTCCTCTCTGTATTTCCTAATCCAAGCTTCCTTGCTTGCTAACTTTGAGTTATTGAAATGTTACTTAATTTTATCTGATTTTCAAGGATTTTACACTTGTTAGGATAAAGTAAAACAATATACACACTATTCATCCCCTTTTTAGGGGAAGTAGTAGTTAACATGTTCTCGCCATGTATCCTAGGCAGGTCTTAAACTCATCCTCCTGAACGTAGATTATGGATATGTGCCACCATGTCTAGCTTTAGTCTCTGGTTCTCTTTTTTTATTTATTTTTTGGCAGTACTGGGGTTTGAACTCAGGGCTTTGCAGTTGCTAGGCAGGTGCTCTACCACTTGAGCCACTCTGACAGTCGGTTCCTTTTTTTCTTGTGGTACTGGGATTTGAATGTAGAGCCTCATGGTTGCTATGCAGGCACTCTTACCACTTAAACTACTCTACCAGCCCTATTTTTGTGAAAGGTTTTTCGAGATAGGGTCTCAGGACCTATTTGCCCAGGCTTGCTTCGATCTGAAATTCTCCTGATCTCTGCCTCCTGAGTAGCTAGGATTACAGGCATGAGCCACTGGTGCCTGGCTGTGTTGGGTATTTTTGAGAGAGGGTCTCACTTTTTGACCAAGCTGGTCTTGAACCAGGATCCTTATCTTTGCCTCTTGAGTAGCTAGGATTACAGGTGTGAGCCACCACCACCCAGCCTAGTTCCCTTTATTAGTAAATAATACCTCTTACCTGTCTTGCCTTCAAACTTTTGGCAGAATTTTCAGTTTCTTTTTCTTGGGAGGGGGAGAGGGTGGTTTTTTGAAATGGGGTCTTCCTTATGTGGCCTGAAATTTGTCATCCTCCTGCCTCAGTCTCCCAAGTGTACAGTATGCAATAAGATTGAGTACTGAAATACTATTGTTTACTTTTAAAACAAACTAGTTCTCCTCATCTCCATTATAAACTTACTTGAGGTCAGATACTGCATTATGGAATCTTTTAGCATGTGGTTTTATGCCTACACTATATATTGTGAACAGCAAAAGCTAGCTATACAATTCCTGATTTAAACAAACTTAAAATCTGGCTGGGAAAACAAAGCATGAATATTTTTCTTTTTTTTTTTTTTTTTTTTTTTTTAGTGGATCTGGGTTTGAACTCAGGGCTTCATTTGTTCTTAGCAAAGCAGGCTTTCTACTGCTTGAGCCACACCTCAAGCTCTGATTATTTGGAGATGAGATCTTGAGAACTATTTGTCTGGGCTGGCCTTGATCCTCCAGATCTCAGCCTCCCAAGTAGCTAGGATTACAGTTGTGAGCCACTGGTTCCCAGCTAGCAGAAACATTTTAAAATTAAAACAATAGTATTTCAGTACTCAGTCCCATTCCAGGAGGATCTGAGATAGCTAAAAAATGCTAAAAGTAATAGGGCAAATGTCCCAAGGCAAATAAATGAATATTAAATGGCAAGTACTTCTTTTAAGAAAGAGAGCATGCTTGAGGCCCTGGGTTGAAGGAAGGAAGGGAGGAAGGAAGAAGGAGGTGGAGGGGGGAGGGAGGGAGTTGGAGGTTTCAGGGGAAAACTTGAATGGGCCCTCTATGGATAAGGATGAGGACTTGGACTTGGCTGGGAAGAAAGGAAAGGAGAGTACTTAGGACGCTGAGGAAAGAGGATCTTGAGTTCTAGGTCAGCCTGGACTACATAGCAAGGCCCTATCTCCAAAAAAAGAGGGCATTTCATTGTACAATTTGATAGAATTTAACCAAGATTCATTCACATGAAGGGTTTCTAAAGATAGAACAGAGGATTCTGAATTGCAGATCACCTTGGATTCCAGGCTAATGAGGGTTAAGTGAAATAGAGTAGGAACATGCCTAGGAACTTAATTTTTGTTGGTTCTGTCATACCTCAGCCTTGCAGATGAAGGACTTATTTTAGGAGAATTATGCTACGCTGGATGTGAAAGGGAAGAGAAGAGCTAGAGATTGTTTCTTCCCTCATTCCTTTCACAGTGTTTGGACAAGGTGCCTCAGACCATCTCTAACCCTTTTCTTTTCTCTCACTTCTATCTGTAGATGGCCGCCCTGCTCCCCCAATGAAAGGCCAGCTTCGAAGAAAAGCCCAAAGGGAGAAGTTTGCAGTGAGTGGCTAGAGCTCCAGCTAGGGCTACTAGTGTGTAATTGGAGGAAGAAAATTTAAATCATAATTTGTTCTGGGCTGTGTTGTACCTAAGCTAACACATATCCTTCACCAAGATTTTAACAGCCACATATTTTGTTTGGCAGTGCTGGGATCAACTCCAGGACTTCATGTACAATAAGCATGTGCTTCACCACTGATGTTTTTGTTTTGTGTATGTTTGTTATTTTTGTTTTGTTTTTTGGCAGTACTGGAGTTTGAACTCAGGGCCTCTTGCTTGTTAGGCAGGCGCTCTACCACATGAGCCATTCTGCCAGCCGTATTTTTGTGTTGGGTATTTTCAGACGAGATCAGGCGCATTCAGGGTGGTATGGCAGTAGACTGTGTTGGGTATTTTCAAGATAGGCTCTTGAAAACTGTTTTCCAGGGCTGGGCTCAAACCATAGTCCTCCTGATCTCTGTCTCCTAAGTAGCTAGGATTATAGGTGGGAGCCATCAGTGCCTATCAGTCAGTTTTGGTTGTTTTTTTTGTTTTTTTTTTTTTGTTTTTTTTTTGCAATACTGGAGTTTGAACTCAGGGTCTACAACTTGAGCCACTCTGCCAGCCCTTTTTTGTGAACTGTTTCCCCCAGCTGGCTTCAAACTGGGATCCTCCTGATCTCTACCTCCTGAGTAGCTAGAATTATAGACATGAGCATCAGTACCTGGCCAGCCAGATGGCTTAATAGCACTGTGAGAAGGAATCAACTGGGGCACTCCTAGGGCAGAAACCAATTAGAGGCATTCTACCTCACATTTTGCTACCTCCCTTCTGCTTCCTAACTCATTCCCCAGTCAGCAGTGTCAATTTCCAGCCGAAACCTCTGACTTTGTGAAAGAAAGGATATAATGGTGCGATACACAAGTCCCAGATGTTATCCATACTGTTTTCCTGTCTGTTTCAGAGACGAGTTGTACTGCTGTCACAGGAAATAGACGCTGGATTACAGACATGGGAGCTCAGGCAGAAAGAGAAGTTGCAGGAAGAAGAAAGGAAGCAGAAAAATGCTCTTATACCCAAAGGGGCTTCAATACAGAGCCCACTTCCAAGTCAATAAAAAGCAACTCCTGACCTCTTCCCCAGCCTCTCTCTGACTTTTTTCTATCACCTGGATGCCTCATCCCAGGCAGAAGAGAGCCTATATGTTCTGTCTTCTTTTAAAAGGACTCTGATACCAGGCAAGACAGGCTGTAAGATCACTGTTTGGAAGGCTTGGCTCAATGGCCTTCCTCATCCTGTACTCCATTCCAGTTCAGCTAAATCTTGTTCTGCATTTTTGGGAGGTTTTGCTTTGTTATGGTTTGTATTTTTTCTTGTGCTGGAGATTGAACCCAGGGCCTTGTGCAAGCTAGCCAAGCACTCTTAACACTCCGAATTTGCTCTGGGATTCTTATGCCCTCCTTTGCAGCCCATATGACTGGCACAAGCTATGTGCAGTATCTGCTCCTTTTTTTCTTTTTCTTACATTTTTATTAGGATATATTTGTTGCAGAGGGGGATTCATTGTGACAATGCCAAATAAGTTTACATTGTGCAATTTTAGGTTACCCCTACCATCTCAACCCCTCCCCCCAGAGCAATTGTGAGAGGGTTTGTTCTATTTAGTATATGTGTATAAGACCCTTCAACTATCTTCCCTAACCTTCCATTAACCCTCCCAATATCTGAAAAGAGGGGAATACTTGGTTTAGCCAGGTACTAAAGTCATTAGTAACTCATACACAGGTTGGTCATGTGCAGTTCACATTTAATAAAGGGTTTGATGAAAAAAGATTCCAGCTGAGGTCCCCTTCTTGGTAAGCAACTGGTACTCGTTTTCCTAAGGCTCAGATACATGATCCAGGAGGAGACCCCCACTGGGAAGGCAGACATGGAAAGAATCAAACTTGGCTATTTCATATTCTAGTGAAGGAGTTGGGTTCTAAAGTCTCCATGGTTCTGACTTAAAATTCAAGGTTGTTTGAAGAGGGGCTTCCACCCACCCCCACCCCCCCCCACACTCACACAGGGACTCAGCCCCAAAGCAGTCACTGTGGAACTAATCCCCACCATTCTACAAACTGAAAGCTGCCCAGGACCTGGGAAGGCTTTCATTTTGTTGATCATGAGCACACCCATGGATTCTGAGGGCAAAGGACCTTTGTTCCTGTTCCAGTACAGAGCACTGGACATCCATCTTTCTGCTACAAATGTGATAGTTCCTGGATCTCTGGGATTTCCGGAGCTTCCTACCTGACCTAATTTCTATCCAACCCTCCTTTATTGCTTCCCTTGCTTTCCCTCCCTTCCTCTCCCCACTACCTCTTTCCTCTCTCGCTGACCAGATGCAATTCTTGGATCTTAGATTTCGCTGATGGTCGAATTTTCTGTCTCCCACACTTTTCCTGCTTCTGTTGTGCTCTTTTGTGCTGCTTTTTCTAGATCTAGTTCTCAACCTCTTATCTGTGTCCCTTTCTCATGTCAGCTTCAGTGTGCCTCCCCCACCCCCTTCCCTGCATACCTCACTCTTTGTTCTGAGTCCAGTCAGTCACTGAAGATTTTACTCTAAGGAATTGTCTCCTTTCCCATTATAAAGGCACAATGAAACTCCAAAGTCCTAACTACCATTCCTTCCCTCTATTCCAGCAATTTCGACAAACCCGATGTGCTTTTCCCCAGTTCCATGGCCTTAATCCCTAGAACTGAAGCCAGTCCTCACTTAGTGGCCACCATTCAAGAGGACAATAATAAAGAGCACATTTGTCTTTCTATAAGGATGGATCCCAGATCCATCAGTGTAGTTGGGTTTGTTTGGTAGTGGGTTTGATTATGGTTTGGGGGCAGGGGAGGGACAGAGGTGGTTAACAACAGGTAACCTTCTAACTTAGTAAATGTCCCTTTGCCAACCTTCCTCACACATGGAAGACCACTCCCCACCACCACCACCAGGGAACCCTGAGTTCCTTGTTGGCCCTAGCCACCCAGGCTTTCAATACTTCCCCTCTGAGGTGAGATAAATGCTGAATACCACGGGAATCAAGCCACCCAAAATGTGCTTAGGAAGAGAAAGTTTCCCACACATCCCCGGTCCCCTGGGTCCCCCTACAGCTCCCAGTTGTTGGCTATGGTCTCAACCCCTGCAGATGGCAGCCTGCACCACAGAAAAGCAACTTTGGGTTTGGTGTTTTGTTTTTTTTTTTTTCCCCCTTCTCCAGCTCTTGGCTGTAATTGGATTCAGACTGAAACAAACCACGTCCCCACCAGGAAAGGAGGGCATTGGGGCGGGGGCGGAGGAGAGGCTGCGGGAGAAGGGAGGGACTAAAGGAGAGAGTAGAGAGGGCTTCCAACCCAGTTCGCAGACTAAGCAGAAGAAAGATCAAAAAACGAGAAAGAGAAGAGCGAACGGGTACTTTCAAGAACAATCCCCTCACCTCCTCGCCGCAGTGATCCAGGGATCCAAAGTCAGTGCCTGCGGAAGACAAAGGCGCCGAGGGAGCAGCGGCTACCCCAGGGCGTGGGCCCGCTGCGGAGCCCGCTCGGTCCGGCCGCCCCGAAAACTTGGACCATGTCTCCCTCCCCGCGAACCTCCCGCAGCCTCCTGCTCCCCCTGCTCACGCTCGGTACCGCTCTCGCCTCCCTCGGCTCGGCCCAAAGCAGCAACTTCAGCCCCGAAGTAAGTGAGCTCCTCTGGCCTGCCCGGAGTAGCGCCCGCCGGGGAGGCGAGCCCGGGGGTCTCCGAGGGGACAGTCCCTCCGAGAGGAGGGCTCTGAGGATCTCGGCCTCTCGGGCCTGCACGATCCCCTCTTCCCTACCCTCCTCCTCGCCAAGCTTTCAAGTCGATCCAACTTTTGCCTGCCTCGGACCACCCCCCCCCCCCGCCCTCCGCCGCCGGCTGCCTGCCTTTCCCGTCCCTTCCTTCCCTTAGAACACCCCCCACACCCAGTTCCCCTGGGCTCTGCGCTCGGCTTCTGGGAGCCCGATGAACATTTGGACTCCGCTCAAACCCCGCGCGGTCCCAGCTCCTTGTCATGTGCGAGTTTGTTTCTTCAACTTTCCAGCGCTCCCGCGCGCGCCCTCCACGCACGCATCTGCTGCCCCACGGGGTGGCGGGCTTCGGGCCGTGCGCCCCCGCCTCCCGGAGGCGACCCCTCGGATCCCTGCCCCGAGCCTGGCGGTGGCCGCGATCACACACACACACGCACACACACACACAAAAGCTCTTGTGAGTTGTGAGCCCAAAGCTCGCCGAGCCGACGCCTCCCCTGTCCCCACCCCCGCCGGCCCCTCCAGGCCCTTTTTGCTGTTAATTGTTTTTCTGTGTTAATTGCAGGGAGATTGGGGGCGTCGCACCGGGAGTGGGGAGCGGGCAGGCCCAGGGCGCTCTCGCACGTCGCTACTGACTCTACCGCCCCCACCCCCATCCCTATCCCTTCCCTGACCGTGGCCCACCCGGCCTTGGAGAAAACCGCGTGGGAGTTGCTTGAGGAAGTTTGTCCTCCCTCACTCTTTTATTTTGGGGTGAAGGTGGGAGACGGACTTAATCGGCTTCTTATTTTGGGCCATCCCAACCCACTCAGCCCCGCGAGGGCCTGGGTGCGGTCGGGAGGGGCTGGGAAAGGCCCAAGACGGGGGATGGGTTCTGGCTTTGGCTTCCTCCGCCCTGGTCCCAGTCCTGGTCCCACCCCGAGAGGAAACCTCTCCAGTAAGAAGAACACGCTCTCTCTGTCCCCGAAGGGTTCTTGGACTGAAAGGAAAAGTGTAGTTAAAGCAATGGAGCTGTCGTGCTCAGAGACCACGTAGAGTAAAAATCCTCCCTGGAGCTACAGATTAAGCCTGATGGTCAGGGAGAAGAAGGCACCCTTATCTCAGGCCTGGAGCCCCAACTTGAGCCTGAAGGGAGAGCTCCTAACAAAAGGAACCTGGGCATTTGGGGGACTGCCCACTGCCAACTTCACCGCCTTTTTCCCCTCCTATGTCCCACTAGGCCTCCTAGGGGAGGGGCGACATCACTGGCTCTGTTTTAAGTGGGTCATGGGCTTCCCAATGCCAGAACCATTTGCTTCTGGGCCACCGAATGTTGGGAAGCAGAAAGGGGGAGGGGCAGGTCCAGAGGCTGGGAGCCAGGGCTGCTGTAGAACAGGAGATCCCCCTGCCTCCTCCAGGACTTCTAAGGTGTAAAGCATTCCCTTGACTTTCCCCTTGGGGAATACCTTGCTGTGCTCATTCATCAAGGCTTTGCTGTGTGCTGTGGCTCAACAGAGTTGTTCCTTTTCCAGGCCAATCTGGAAGGAGAGCAGAGGTGGCCCAGGCAGTTTGGTCCTTTCCGCCAGGCCACCACAGCTCTGCACCAGCTCCAGTACAGCCCTCCCCTCCCCTTGGCATGTTGGGGCACTCTGCCCTTCCCCCAACCCAGCCGCAGACACAAGAGTCCTCTCTTCTGTGGTTCCGACCTCATAGTCTCTGTGGTTCTTGCTTTGCTCAGAGCCTGCCTGCCCCTGTGAGATGGAGGGAAGAATCTTGCCCAGGCCTGGGAGGAGGAAAGGGATGGCGACACTTCTTTTCCAGGCCTTGTGGCTCACTTGAGTCCAGGGAAGTTCCTTTCTTTACTAAGCCTCCATTTTCCTCTATAGAGTATGGGGCAGGGGTTGTGAATGTGACTGTTTAGACCTGCCTACCTCTTGAGTGTCTCACAGGAGATTTATCCCAGCACCCACCACCCATCGGGCACCTTGTCCTAAGTACAGGCCTCACTTCTCCAGACTTTCAGTTCCAGGGGCAGGCCACTCCTATCCTCTCCCAAGTCCTGAAGCAGTTGCTTCCTGAGAGGGGTCAGAAGCCTGGGGTGTGTTTGTCCTACAGGTGAGGCTAGGGCCAGAGGGAGTTTCCTGCATATTTGGCACAGCAGGACTCCTGAGGGCACTGGCTGTGGCATCAGCCAGCACAGGTCAGGGCAAGCCTGCAGCTCCCAGAGAACAGCTCCATACTGGAGCACCCTCCTTGGCTCCTGTCCTGTATACCAGAGTTAAACTTCATTTCCTCCTGTACCTGTGAGGAGGGGCTCTCACAGCCAGGTGGTGCTAGGGTTTTTCACGCCAGGCTTATTGGCTAGGAAAAGGCTGGGTTGTTTACAGCTGAGGTTCTAACTCCCGACAGCCTTGGGGGATCAATTCCTGGAACTGTGTTGCAATTCCTGCCCGTGTGGGCTCAGGTCCCCAGTCAGCTGCTCCTGAATCACCCCCAGACCCTGTTCAAGTGTATTGCTCCACCACTAGGGCCTGCGCCTAGTGGGTAAGGACTGTGTGGAGATGGAACCATCTTTAACCATCATGGATAGGGGATGTAGCACCCAACAGCAGCCTCTACCCCTGTCTCGTCTAAGTCTCATCTTAGGCAACCTGCAGCCTACTCTGGACTCCCTAAAAAAGGCACAGCTAGAGCAAAGACCAGAGCTGTTTGAGTCAGATCTCCTCTTAAGAGAATCCAAGTATCTTCATATTCCATATATAAATTTGACTTCTCAAATTTAGAAAAATATTCCATTGTTTTCACAAAAACGGCTGACTTTTTCCTCAGAAGGGCTTTGTAGTGTGTGCATCTTTCAAACACCAAAACCTAACTTTCAATTTAAAACAATTTGCCAGCTTTCATAGTATGAACAATTTACAACATATCTGAAATAAAATCCCACAGTTACCCCACTGCCTTCACTGAGAACCAAACAGGCCTTTAGGTTCCACGCCCCAGGCCAGATGGTGTTTGGATGGGAGCTGTATCAGACTTCTCCAAAGGCCCCAATTTCAGTTCTGGCTCCTTTTTTGCCCACCTTTCTAAAAAAAAAGTCTCAGCGGAGGGTCACAGAGGCATGGTTCCTCTGTTGCGGGAGAGCTTTGTGTTGGGCCCAAATGCAGAGCCCCTCAGCCTGACATTACCCTTCTACCCATCGTGGACACACCCCTTCTCAGATGGGACATGGCTGCATTTGCAAGAACACTGACATAGAAAAGAGAAGTACTGGAAGGAATTATAGCTCTGAGAAGACATCCTAGAACACTATGTTAAACCAGCAGGGCTCTGGTTCTCAAGAGAGCTATAGATAGTCTGGAGGTCTGGCTCCCCAATCCAGTCTGTGCTCACAGACAGCCCCCAGGGAACAAGCCATGCTGGGGTCTAGGCCAGCTTTCAGGTCAGTGGACCTGAAAGCTGAAGGATTCCTTTAGACCTGCTGCCAGAGTCAGCCTGGGAGCCCTCACAAAGCCAAGGGTGAATGCTAGGTACTGTGGGGGGCAGATGTGCCCCCTGGGTCAGGTGGGAATGCTCTAAGCCACACCCCTTTCCCTATAGGCCTGGCTACAGCAGTATGGCTACCTGCCTCCTGGGGACCTACGAACCCACACACAGCGCTCACCCCAGTCACTCTCAGCTGCCATTGCTGCCATGCAGAGATTCTACGGTTTGCAAGTGACAGGCAAGGCTGATCCAGACACCTTGAAGTAAGTGTTTGACCCTGGCAAGGATTCTGCCCAGGGAGGGTGTAAGGAAGCAATAAAGGAGGGTGGATATGGTTGATGTACTGTATATACGTATATGAAATAGAACAATGAGGGAGAGAGAAGGTGGGAGCGGACCTAACCAATGTACAATGTAAGCATATTCAGAAATGTCACAGTGAATCTCCCCTGTACAACTAATACATGCTAATAAAAATACTTCAAGGGGGAAAAAAAAAAGAATTCTGCTCAGTGTTGCCCACTGACAACACTGAGCACTAGAATGGTGCTGAAATCCTGGCTTCTGTCCCTCATGTCCTTTCCTCATATGCTGATCCTAACCCTGACCTCATAACCTTGGCCTTTCCCCATATTGACACACACAGAGCCTCACCCAACACTGATGATGCTGGGGCCTGAGGCCAGGATCCAGGGCCTGTAATGGAGCCCCACCCTCTCCCTTGGAGACCTTTCTCTTTCATACACTGCGCTGACCCCAATCCTCCCACCCCAGGGCCATGAGGCGTCCCCGCTGTGGTGTTCCAGACAAGTTTGGGGCTGAGATCAAGGCCAACGTTCGAAGAAAGCGCTATGCCATCCAAGGCCTCAAATGGCAGCATAATGAGATCACTTTTTGGTGGGTCCAACAGACCAGTGACCTTTCTTATATCTGGTATCCTTTCTTATCAGTTATGATATGCAGAGACCAGACCTCCCGTACTTGTCCCCTCTGTTTCTGAAAAGCATCCTGGGAAGTGGGGAGGAGGTACAGCCATCAGGAGATGCACCCCAGAGTTGGGGAGCCAAAGCTTGAGGGTCCCCAATGCCTTCAGTTCTGGTGCTGAGGTGTTGTCATGCATGAGGCTGCAGAAAGAGTGGGTCTGGTGAAGGTGGCTGGGCAGTTCAGTTGAACCTGGGACAGTGCAGGAAAGGAGGATTTTGCCCCTCGTTAGCCTAACACACCCCCATTCTCTCCCCTCATGGCTGAACCTCAGCATCCAGAATTATACCCCAAAGGTGGGCGAGTATGCCACATTCGAGGCCATCCGAAAGGCTTTCCGTGTATGGGAGAGTGCCACACCACTGCGCTTCCGCGAAGTGCCCTATGCCTACATCCGAGAAGGCCATGAAAAGCAGGCGGACATCATGATCTTGTTTGCTGAGGGTTTCCATTTTGATGTGATGGCTTGGAGGGCCCCAAGGACACACTTTGACTCTGCTGAGCCCTGGACTGTCCAGAATGAGGATCTGAATGGTGAGTGAAGAAACCCTGGGTCCTACTCTGGGGAGAGTCAGCCACTGTTGGAGGTGGGGAAGAGGTGTCATCCTTCCAGAATCTAAGGGCTACCAGTTGAAGTGATGCATGCCAGCAATCCCAGCACTCAAAAGGATCACAGGTTCCAGGCCTGGGCTACATAGCGAGACCTTGTCTCCAAAAATAAATAAATAAATAAGTGCTAGAAGAGACCACAAAGATCTCCTAGGCTAATTTTGAACACAATCAAGAAAAAGTACCCTCACCCACTTTTTAAGAAAAATCTCCAATTTAGCTCCTAGGAGAAACTGACCCTCAGAGGGTCTTTGCTTCCATAACACAGGTCCTCCTGGGATTGGGACGCCGCCCCACAGAACTCCCACTCCACCCAGAGGAAGTTACTAAGGCTTTGTGCCTTAGATACCAAATAAGAAACTGGCCCTCAGGATTTGGTCACTTTGGGTAGACAACATGACCAGGAGGCTTGTGTGGGATTGGAAGCCTCTGATGAAGCAGGAAGGCTAGAGAAGGGACCCAGGATGCCATTTCACCATCGCCATCCCTCCAGGGAACGATATCTTTCTGGTGGCTGTGCACGAGTTGGGCCATGCCCTGGGCCTGGAACATTCCAATGATCCCTCAGCCATCATGGCACCTTTCTACCAGTGGATGGACACAGAGAACTTCGTGCTGCCTGATGATGATCTCCGGGGCATTCAGCAACTTTATGGTGAGTAATCCATGCCTACACCAGCTACTCCTCTGCTCCTTGTCCCCTCCTGGTCTCTGGTCTGTGCATTTCCCCACTCTCACCCCTTCAGTCACCCACACACATGCACCACCTCACCCTACCTCCATCAGCTCCCACTTTTGAAAACATCTCTGTCACCTCCCAGCTGATTGCTTCAGCCTCCCCACAAAGGCCCATTTACACCTGTCTAAGGGTGCTGTCTGCCCATCTATATGTCCTTCCATTCCCCCTGACCCCAAGTCTGAAGTATCCCTCTTGTTCTCTCCCCCAGGGAGTGACTCAGGATCACCCACCAAGATGCCCCCTCAACCCAGGACTACCTCCCGGCCCTCCATCCCTGATAAGCCCAAAAACCCAACCTATGGACCCAACATCTGTGATGGAAACTTTGACACTGTGGCTGTGCTCCGAGGGGAGATGTTTGTTTTCAAGGTTAGAGGAAAAAGTGAGCTTGTTTGGGGAATAAAGGGGCTCTCAGTAGGAAGGCTGGGTGGAAACAGAAACAGAAAGACTGAAAATTAAAATCAAAGGATAAAGCGGGGGAGCTTTAGGACCGAGGAAGAGAACTAAGCTACAAGACATTATGTGCTCTTCTCACCTTGACTGATTTCCAGGAGCGCTGGTTCTGGCGGGTGAGAAATAACCAAGTGATGGATGGATACCCAATGCCCATTGGCCAGTTCTGGAGGGGCCTGCCTCCATCCATCAATACTGCCTATGAGAGGAAGGATGGCAAATTTGTCTTCTTCAAAGGTAACCAAGCAAGTTGGGAGGGTCTCCTTGAGGGAGCTGATGTCACTTGATTCCCAAAGACCCCAGAGCCCAACTTGAACTCAGATTCTGCCCTTCTGTCTCCTCCCCAGGAGATAAGCATTGGGTGTTTGATGAGGCTTCCCTGGAACCTGGCTACCCCAAGCACATTAAGGAGCTGGGCCGAGGGCTACCTACTGACAGGATTGATGCTGCTCTCTTCTGGATGCCCAATGGAAAGACCTACTTCTTCCGGGGAAATAAGTAAGATTTCAAGCCTTTACTCCAGGCCCCTCTCCTCAGAAACTATCATCACTACCTCCCCCAAATTTCCTTCCCAAATTCTGAAGAAAGGCCCACTTTTCCCTCAAGATGTTTTCCTGGAGAAGGAGCTGGCTGAGCCTCCACTGTTTGCCTAGCAACAGGCAGCCTCTATTGAGTGTGCGTGAGTGGGTTGGGATGTGACCGGGTCACCATTTCAGACCTGGTCATTTGATGCCTCCTGTCCTTAGCACTGTGCGGCCGCCCCAGCAGCCAGGCACTGTCATTAAGGGCTGCTGATGGCTCCTTAAAGCCTGGACCCTCCCTCCTGCACTTTGTGCTGCAGGCCCTCATTACTCAAAACCCCTGTACACAGCTACTCTTTGCTCACTGGTGCAGTCTCTCTTGGGTCCTGCTGTCCTCTGAGGACATACCCAGTGTCCAAACCACTTCCTTTTGTCACCTTTCCCCCAGGTACTACCGTTTCAATGAGGAGTTCAGGGCAGTGGACAGCGAGTACCCCAAAAACATCAATGTCTGGGAAGGAGTCCCTGAGTCTCCCAGAGGGTCATTCATGGGCAGTGATGAAGGTGAGTAGGGCAAGGGAAGTGTCTATGAGATGAGGATGGGAATAGAGAATTAAGGAAGAGAAGGAAGAAAAACAGGGAGCACATCATATATAGAAAACAGTGACAGTGATAATAGTGGAGCCCTTTCCATGTGCCAGGCTAAGTGGACTGGTGGCTAAGTGCTTTCATGAGTCTCCACCACTCCTGGCACCATAATTGCTCCCTTCGTACAATTGAGGAAACTGATGCTCAGAGAGATTAAGGTGAGCTTAGCTGGCTGTCACACTAACCAAGCTTCTTTCTGTTCTTCTCTCTTGGGGCCTTTCCCATCCCCATCCTGCCACTGTCTCCTTTCTTGTCCTCCTTACCACCTTCCTGTTGACCCCCTCCAGTCTTCACTTACTTCTACAAGGGGAACAAATACTGGAAATTCAACAACCAGAAGCTGAAGGTAGAGCCAGGCTACCCCAAGTCAGCCCTGAGAGACTGGATGGGCTGCCCATCAGGGGGCCGACCAGATGAGGGGACTGAGGAAAAGACGGAAGTGATCATCATCGAGGTGGACGAGGAGGGCAGTGGAGCCGTGAGTGCAGCTGCCATTGTGCTGCCTGTATTGCTGCTGCTCCTGGTGCTGGCAGTAGGCCTTGCAGTCTTCTTCTTCAGACGCCATGGAACCCCCAAGCGATTGCTCTACTGCCAGCGTTCTCTGCTGGATAAGGTCTGACCCCCATCGCTGGCCCACCCACTCCTACCATGAGAACTTTTGTCTCTGAAGGCAGTGGCAGCAAGAGGTGTTGGGTGGGCTGCTCCCACCTATCCTGACCCCTTCCCTCCAAACTCCCTTTCTGTCCCTTGGCTGGCCTCTCCCACCCTCACCCCTGGCATTGCTTCTTCCCTAGACGGGTCCCCTGAGGACTAAGCGGAATCCCTTCCAGCCTCTGGCCCTCAGGGGAGCCCTGTAGCTTGGTGTGTGTGCCGCCCCATCTGAATGTCATGGGAGTTCTGCACTTGAAGGCAGAATTCTCAGACCTCACTGGCCAAGGTCAAATGGGGTCATCTCCTTTTCTATCCCCTGACATACCTTAAACCTCTGAACTCTGACCTCAGGAGGCTCTGGACACTGCAGTCTTGCAATTCCTAGGTGTACTTACTTGGCAGCCTCCTACCACTCTTTTGGCTGAAAGGAATCTAATCTTGTTGAAGGGAGGGCAGAGGCCATGAGAGAGTGTGAGGGCTGGGGACTGCTCTACCACCTTGAGACCTTCGGAGAAAAACTCAAAGGGGGTCTTGGTGGCTCGCTCTGTCACGTTCCTCTCCACAAAGATCTGCCTCTGCCCTCCCTATCCTGAAGAACTTCCAAAGAAGAGCCTGAGCCATTAAGGACTAAACTGGGGCTGAGGAAACTTGGCAGCCCTAGCCCCTCTCGAATGTTAGCCTTGGATGAGGATTTCAAGGTTGGAATAGCTAAAACCAGGGGCTGTGGCCCAAAGTGGAGTGGGGCCATGGGGAGACACCGTGTCTGGAGCCCTAGGAATGAGCCTGAAGAATCTTGCTCAAATGCAGGCAGCTGGGGCTGGGACCCAAGGCAGAGCAGTCAAGGGGCAGGAAATGAAGTTTGGCTGAACAGGCCACAAAGGGTGCCACAGGGTGGGCTGCGGTACCCAAGAGAGAGCGCGTTTTACTGGGGCTCTCAGGAAGGGCCCTAAGGAAGGCACACTGGCTTCTCGTTGTCCCCTTTCTTACTGACCAGAAATCATGGAAGGGATGGGTGGGAAGCCCAGAGACAGAAGTAAAAATAGAGGGACTGGGACTCGGGGACCTAACTGAGAGAAATCACCTACTTGTGGGACCAGAGGAGGTTCCCAGAGGCCTGGCAGCATTTAGTCTACCTTCTACCCCAGTGAGAGGCAGGTGCCTGGCTGCTTCTTGGTGGGGTTGGCCCCTTACTTCCCTGATGGCTACATTCAGTCTATCATCCTGTCCTGTCCTCCCTCTCCCCACCCAGCCCACCCATTTGAAGTCTCCTTCAGCCACCAAAGGTGGTCATGGTACTGGGGACTTGGGAGAGTGAGACTCTGTGGAGGGAGTGAGAAGAGAGGGATGTCAGGGGGGGTGGGGCCTAGGAGTTGGGGAAATGGGGTGAACGGTGCTGGCAGTTCGGCTAAATTTCTGTCTTGTTTGGTTTTTTTTTTTTGTTTTGTTTAATGTATATTTTTATTATAATTATTATATATGAACTCCATTCAAATCGTTCCTTTTTGTTAATGAGGGGTACGGGGAGGGGTGGGGGTGGGAGGGGCAGAGGCATCTGACCCCAGGAACCTGCGGGGCGGGGCTGGGTCAGTGCCCTCTAAGGACATTTTTGACCTTGTTCAATCTTTCCACAAAGAATAAACTGTGTTTCACATTCTTTGTGTGGCTGCAATTCTGTATAGGGGTGAATGGTTTGAATAGTGGTCGAGGGGCTGGAAAAGAGAGCTGGCATCCTACGCAGCATTTTCCCTGAAGTGGAGTTTGGTATTTTTTATAAAGGAATATGTTTACTCTCAGTGAGTGGGCTAATGGGATTGAGGATCCAGAGTTGGGGAGCAAATGACAGAGCCCAGCTGCTCTTCCCCAACCTGCCTTAAAAGGCTACCTTTGAGACACAAGGCTGCCAAAGACGAGAGGAAGTGGTCAAGCTGGGGCCCTTGGAAAATCTTCCTAAATTGCATTACCCTGTCGTGTGATCTAGCCACAGACCCTCCATTTCCTCACGCCTCTCTCACTGCAACAGGGGTATTCCCATAATCTATTTAGCTTGTGGCTCAGTGACAGGCCCTCAGACCTAAGAAGACCCTTTATGGCCTGGGTGCCACTGCTGGGGCAGAAGGAGACCAGAAGGAAAGAGAGAAAGAGGTTTCCTATGGCCTACAAGTAGCACCCTGCCTCTGGCAGAATAGTGATCCTCCCTCATTTGCCCAGGACAGCTGTGATGGTCAGGTTGGATGGGCAGAATAACAAGGCTTTGTTTCTTTTTTCCTTAGAAACTTCTGCCTCAAACAGGGTTCCCAGGCTGTCGACCCACCCTTTCTCCAAAACCAGCCTAAAGGGAGGGGTCAGTTCAGTTGCTGAGTCAGCTCAGCTGGAGAAGAGCAGCCCCCTTTCTTCTCCTGCCTTCCCTTCCTACTTCAGCCCAGCCCTCCCAAGCTCCAGCCCAGTCCCCTCCACAGCCTGCCTCAGGAGCCCTGTGCCAGTGGTCCACCCAGCTGCTCTTCAAGGGGGTTGGTGTGATTGCTTTGGCAGAAGGGTTACCCCGCCTTCCTGCCAGCTAGGAACCCTGACCCTGTGCCTGGTCTCTTGCACCTCCCCTGCCAACAGCTGTTTGGCAGGACCTGTGTCTCAGTGGAGTTGGACACCTCCACCCCACCACCCTCACCAAAAGGGATGGGGACTGAAAAGGCAGCCCCAGGGAAGTTAGGGGCATCTGGGGGTGGTAGGGGCTAAGCGTGTGGCAAGAAACTCAAAGATGAGCTCATGGCCCCTTTGTGTTTTTGTGGTCCACATCTGGAGGCAATTACAGATGTTATCCAGTGGGAGTTCTGTAAAACACAGCTGGAGCCAGTGGAGAGCCTGGGGAGGGGTGACTGCCAGAGGGAAGAGGAGGGGGAGCCTAGGGCTCCTGTGGCTGGAGTGTGGTTTCCCCATCACGAGGAAATTGTTTGGCCGTGATTCTGAAATCACAAGATGCTCTCTGAAGCCAAAGGGGAGAGATGGGAATGGAGGACTAGAGACAAAGAGGAAGAGGTCCTGGAAGCCTGGCTTCACAGGCAAACAGAATTGCGGGATGGAGGCCACAGGGTCCCGTGCCTCTGACGGGCTGGGACTAGGGCTCAGCCTGCCCAACCTCCCCCCTGGGAGGTGCCTCAGTGATCACAAGGCCCCACTTGAGTGAACCAGGCTGGAGGTCAGGCTGGGGTGAGAGGAGGCAGAGGGTCCTGAGGCTACAAAGGACCTGCAAACTCTGCTTTCACTGGCCTGGCCGGTGTGTCCATTGGGCTTGACCCAGTTTCTCCTGTTCCAAGTTCCTTTATTCGAAAGCAGCACATGTGAGTTGGAGCAGCCAGGAGGGAGCCACAGGGAATCTGCAAGGAGGTTTGGGCAGAACCCAGGGAAATGGGTCTAAGAAAATGCTGGATTGGGGGCAAGGGCCAAGAGGGGCAGTACTCTGCCCAACAGTGCACTCTACATACTTGGAGGGGGACCATGGACTCCCTCATCATCACCTCCTCTTTTCCAGGGCTCCTGCCATCAGCTGGGCCCAAGCCTCCAGGCTGCCAGCCAGGCGCTGGGTCAGTGGGCTGGGAAGGGAAGATCTAAGGAACCTCGCCCTGTGAGGGAGAGGACTGACTGCATGAGGGACACCCCACCCACTCACAATCTGCCTAGCCCTGCTGCTCCTCTCCCCACAATCTGACAGACTTCCCAGTGTCTCCCTCTGAAATGTGCCCTCCCTTTCCAGCAAAATCGTCCTCCCAGCAGCAGCCACGCAGGCACCAACATGGCCCCCATTTTACAGATGAAGCAACCAAGGCCTAGAAAGATAAATTACAGCTTCTTAGTCTAGATTTCCAACCCCAATCTGACTGATTTTTTTTTTTTTTCTTAGCCTCCTCTTTTCCAGGGCTCCTGCCATCAGCTGGGCCCAAGCCTCCAGGCTGCCAGCCAGGCGCTGGGTCAGTGGGCTGGGAAGGGAAGATCTAAGGAACCTCGCCCTGTGAGGGAGAGGACTGACTGCATGAGGGACACCCCACCCACTCACAATCTGCCTAGCCCTGCTGCTCCTCTCCCCACAATCTGACAGACTTCCCAGTGTCTCCCTCTGAAATGTGCCCTCCCTTTCCAGCAAAATCGTCCTCCAGCAGCAGCACCAGGCACCAAACATGGCCCCCATTTTACAGATGAAGCAACCAAGGCCTAGAAAGATAAATTACAGCTTCTTAGTCTAGATTTCCAACCCCAATCTGACTGATTTTTTTTTTTTTCTTTTTCTGTGCAGACGTGTTGACAAGGTCTCTTGGGTGTCTCTCCTGGTGTGGCCCCTGTATAATTGGGTGGCCTTGTGATAGTATGTTCTAGGGATCTGTCAGCATATGTGTGCTTGCTCATTGTGCCGGGGACAGAAGTGTGATGGTGAGGGAGGGGGAAAGAAGAGTTCTTCCTCAGGAAGCTGCTTTGCAGCCCATCTCTTCCCTTTTTTTTTTTTTTTTTTTTGATGGTATTGGGGTTTGAATTCAAGGCCTCCACCTTGAGTCACTCCACTAGCCCTTTTTTTGTAAAGGATTTTTCAATAAGGTCTCGTGAACTACTTGCCCAGGCTGGCTTTGAACCATGATCCTCCTGATCTCTGCTTCCTGAGTAGCTAAGATTACAGGTGTGAGCCACCGGAACCCAGCTCCATCTCTTCCTTTCTTAGGGGCAGGGGCACATACTCTGAGGGAAAGAAAAGGGCACCAAGAGTCAGCCAAAGGGACTAATGAGATCATGACGGCAGCTGGGGAAGGTAAGCGCTAAAGGCTGCACTCAAAGGAAGGGGCTGGGGGAAGCAGAGGCCTTCAGGGGTGGTGCCCATCCACTGAAGCCCCAAGGATACCCCAGCCAGGTCTGTTCCCTTGTCCTGCAGCCCCTGAACCCCCTTCCTGCCCACCCCCAATCTGAGCCCACCACCTTGAGGAGACCAGCACTCGTACACCTAGTCCAATCCTGAGGTTTCTACTTTTCTCCCTCAGATAGTCTGGGGAGAAGAGGGAGACCCAGAGGCAGCCTGCAAGAGGCTATGCAGCCAGGGCCTGGAAGGGAGGCCAGCCTGACTGGCCAGAAGCCACCTTCCAAATGAGCTCACACACATACTTTCCACGCTGGCCAGTCATTGGGGCCTTTATGGCTTACAGGAGGAGACCAGCTCCCTTCCCCCAAAGACCCACACCTGGGTAGGGAAGGACACCAGAGCAGACAGAAGAGGAGGCGACACAAGTAAATGGGCGGAAGGGCTTCCTCTCAGTGCCCGAAGTAGCTCATTGACTCAGAGATCAGGCCAGGTCTGGGAGCTGCCTCACTATGGCTCACATCCTGCTCACTCATTTCATTTCCCACATAGGGGCACTTTCCTGACTTGGAGAAGGGTGGGGTCTAGTAGTGCAAGGCCAGGCTGTCCCTAAAGGGGCACCATCAGGTAATTCAGGAGGCCTGGCAAGTGCACTCACGTGCCACAGGTGCCAATCACTTTTCTTTTGTTTTGTTTTGGTGGTGCCAGGATTTGAAGTTGCACTTACTAGGCAGGCATTCACCACCTGAGCTATGCCTCCAGCCCTTTTTGCTTTAGTTTTGGGGTTCTTTTGTTGTTGTTTGTTTGCTTGTTTGTTTTGGTAGTACTGAGGGTTGAACTCAGAGTCTTGCACTTGCTATGCAGGCACTCTACCACTTGAGCCACTCCACCTCTAGCTTTACTTACTTTTCAGATAGGTCTTGCATCCTCCCATCCTCCCTCATAACTGGGGAACTCAGCGCCTCACCCTAGCAAGGCAGGCCCTCCTACCACTTGAGCCACTCCACCAGACCCATCTTACCCTTTTGTAATAAAAGTGAGAATAGAACATGTTTTTCAGTGGCTGTGTTGGTATTATATATTATAGGAATTCTTTGAGAATTCCTCCATCATCTGTCATAGCTGGGATGACAGGTAGGAGTCACCAAGCCCAACTTATTGGTTGACATGGGGTCTCACTAATGTTTTCCCCAAGCTGGCCTTGAGCCTTGATCCTCTCTGCCTCCTGAGAGTCAGAGAACCACCATACCCTCCAGTTACTTCGATTTGTTCTGTGCTCAGAGTCACCCTTCATCCAGCTTCTACAGACACATAGCATGGAGCCACAGAATAAGATCAACCCCGAAAAAGGTTCCTTGTCTGTTCAGTGCCTGACTGCACTAGGAGCATGGCTACCCTGGATCCAATAAAGTCTCTTGAGT